AAATAAAATGGAAATAAAATAAAGAGTAAAATGAGATGAAAGTGAATAGAAAATCTGAAAAAAAAGTAAAGACGCCAAAAATGTGAAGAATATAAGATAAATATGGAACGAAAATAAAGAGAACAAAATAAGAATAAAGTAAAGAAGAAATGGGAAGAAAGTAGAAGAGAATAAAATGGGAAGAAATTAAAAAGAAAAATTGGAAGTAATAACAGAAAAAATATGAAAGGAAAATAAACAGAAAAAATGAAAAGAAGTTAAAGAAAAAAAAGAAAACTATAAAAAGGAAGAAGAAAACAGCAATCAAAAGAAGAAATATGAATTGCAAAAGAGAAAGAATGAATGAAATGAATGAGAGCGAAAAAAGTGCAATGTGAATGAAAAGAAATGTAGATGGCGCGCTGGATATTAGTAGTGTTGTACTGGTGCGATGTGGGCGGGTCTGGTCATGAATCATTTCATTGCTGTCATTTGTCAGCTTTTGTAGCGTGAACTGACAATCCTGCGGGGTCAAATACAGAAAAAGAGCGGGCACTTATTGCTAGTGACCTACAAATAAGATACGTCGGAAATCAATTGAGGGAACAATTTGATGAATTTGATGCACCTGATATTGAATTTATTTGATCCTACAGCGTGATTTTTCTTTTCTTCTTTCTGTTTCTCTTACTTTCTTTCTCTCTGTATTATTGTTCCTGTTGCTATTATTATTATTATTATTATTATTATTATTATTATTATTATTATTTCTATCACGTGATGTAATTTGATGAGTCACACGTTTTATAAGTTGATATTGATAGTTTTAATAAAAAAAAATGTCAGAAAGTTATTGTAATAGCCAAAGGCGCACTAGTGGAAATATGGTTAAATATATCTCTTAATGTCATACACCTTCATATTTTTTTAATGTCATATACTTCTTGCTTCTTAGTGGCTTTACTCCCTTGTATGGGGTGAATCCGATTAAAAAAATGGGAATAATGAGGAAGTCTTAAGGAGAATAAGACCATCAAGGAAACTTACAATCCGAAAAAAAAGAGGTTAAATTTCTGGGAGACGCATCAAGGAAAAATAACCAAGAGAATTATAAACTCACAGGCAAATGAAGATGGGGGAAAACATATAATATTCTACTTAAAGAGTTTCATTGAAAGGAAGGACATCGAGTAATTCTAAAGGGTTTTAATTTACAAGGTAACTAAAAAAGCACTTGCCGTTTTTTTATTTATATAGTAAAAAGGTATAGAGATAACGTTAGCCCTCAAATGAACTCCCGTCAGCATCCAGAACATTTTTGCCAACTTGCCTCCAGCTACGCAGTATCCTTTGCGGTAAAAATCAGGTGTGTTGAAGTAAAGAACTCTGTGAATGCCTGTCGCAAATCTGCCTCATTTATAAAGGATTTTCCACGAAGGTGGTTGTACAGGAAACGGAAGAGGTAGTAATCTGTTGGTGAAAGGTCCAGGGAGTAAGACAGTGTCTCGCAGCTAAGTCACCGTATGGCATCCTTAGCATCCTTGGCCTCCTTGGCATCCTTGGCCTCCTTCGCCACATGAAACCTGGCACTATGGTGGAGGAACAGCATACCCTTGCGATTAACCAATGCTGGCTCCTTTTATTTCAATACTTGCTGCACACGTACTAACTGCTGCAAACTCAGGTCCGCGACAACAGTTTGATCGTTAATAGCAGCTCATACCACTCGTGGACTAGTCCACCAGATACAGATCATGATCTTGAGTGGGTATAGAGGCGTTGTGAAGCACTGGAGCCTCTAGTGAGCACCAATGACAGGCATACTTAGGTTAGGAGTGTCATACAGGACCCACTTTTTGTCACTGCTGATCAAATTGGTACGTTGTTTTGCAACGGGAAACACGCTGTTAGTCATTGTTACTTGTTGGCTTCCGATAGTGTGGGGATACTCACTTGCTCCACTCATACGGTGTAGTTGAAATCTATTTCCTCAAAAATCTGGAAGCGTTCGGCAAGCTCACCATAGGTTTGAATGTTATCCTATTCTATGGCCGCCTTCAGGTCCTCATCATCCAGGACCTGGGACCAGCCACTACGAGGTTCATCAAAAACGGTCAGATCTCCTGATCTGAACATCTAGAACCAATGCCTGGCGGTGCGTTCACTCACATTATATCCCCATATTTACCTTATATTTAAAGTAACAAATGGAAGGAGACTGTGGAGAACCTTGATTGGCCAAATCCTGAAAAGATTTGGCACATAAAAGATTTGAATAGCAACTTGCAATATCCGATAGTCTGTCTTTTTTTTAATTTTCTGAACACAATCAGTTTTCATTTCAAAATTCTAAAGAAATTTCTTTTCCCTCACCTTTAATCTGCGGGTCATTTTGTAGTCCTTGATTATACTATTGAGCTGCATATTCCATTCCCTTACGCTTGCACGATTTCCAATTGATCCTGCCCATTCTGGTTTTACTGAAACGTATTCTGAATTTTGATGCAGTATATGAACAATTTCATATTTTCTCTCTGAGATTCTGGAATTATTTACATTCGGACTAATATCGTCATCTTGGTTGTTATTACCACGGTGTTTCGCTATTTGTGCCCACCAACTTCTTCAGGTGTCTGCCGATCTTGGTAACTTTTGAAAATGTCTGAATTGAACACTTTATTTAATCTACGTAGGTAGATTGTTCTCGTTCCACTGTCTATGCTAAGAGATACCTCTTCTTCCTTTTAGTATTGCACAGATTTGTTCGCTATGTTTCCACTGTATCTGGGTCTGTACTACCCGGCCATGGGTTTGAACTCACAATTATTATGTAAACAAATTCATGAAGCAACGTTTTTATCCACTTGGCTGGCTGAATGAGGATGTTCTGATTGTAACAACAAAGATAATGATGTTAGCCGGAATGTAAATAGCGTAAATAATTTGATCTTTTTCGTTGCACAGGCGTCATTTGTTTTGTTTCTGCTTATTGAACACAAAATAGGTTGTCCGACGGATAGTTTCGCCCAACAGAGCAAGTTGCTACAAAACCAAAACATTAGCCTAAAAACGAGATTTATGTTTTTAAATAGTCTCGTCAGGTCGAGACTTTTATATGGATGGTGCCATGCAGAGCGTCAAACTCGTTCAGACGTATCTGAACTGGAAACTTTATATAACCGCTTTCTCAGATCAATGAGCAAAAATAGCTTCGAACGAGTGAAGCGAGTAGGCCTCTTTACACGTCGCGGACTGGCGTTACATAATGACCAACAAAGAACTGTACTAGATAAAACAAACCGCATCATTTGGGAACTTTTAACAGCAGCAACAAGTACATTGTTTAGCACAGTCAGTTATGTGCTATGCGTGATGCACGCGTAGGCGATCATGTATCTTTCGATACATGACTGACTAGGCAGATTTTTCCCTGCATTAGGTTGCCATTTGTTTCTGCAACAGACCAATTGCCACCCAAGGCTATAGAACTCGGTCTGTCCTGCTATTTACCCATAGCTGGTGGGGGAGAAGAAGAGGATTCAAACCTTTCCCAAGATTATTACCACGTAAGTGAATGTAATGAATTCGACTGGTTTTAGAACTCGGCTTTTTCACGTAACACGAAAATCGAATAATGACATAATCAAGATGGTGATGTTCCACGCTACATCAAACAAAAGGCAATGACGGGAGTCCCTATTAATACTAGAAAGAGGATTAATAGCGACTGGTCTTGGCAAACCTATTTTCCTGAACAATTGTTATAAGAGAAAGATTTTTAATATTTTATGCACTTTTTCTAGACCACTGTTATTGAGAGGATTTTTTTCAAGCTTAACTTATATGTGACACAAGGTCGAAAGTATGGGGCATCCAGTGAAGACTGAACTCACTATTCATTCGTAATCCTTCTAACGAGACAAGCTAGCTATCACGCCACCCTCGAAGTGCCCATTTTCTAAGCGTAGCTTAGATGTGGCACAAGGCCAAATGTGTAGGGCACCCATTGAGAATCGAACTTTGATCGTAACTGATCTAGCAGGACAAACTTGCTAAGTATTACACTAATTCGAAGTGTTCAAAGACTGCTGTTACGATAGTGATTATCTGGGGTAATCAATGAGGATCGAACTCTGAACGTAACGGATCTAGCAAGACATGCTTGCAAACCATTTCGCCACGTCGAATTGCCTGAAGACTTCGTGATGGATTGGATTTATATTTTGAGAGACTATTAACCAACCGTGACGCTTTATCAGTTTAGTTTTAGCTTCTTAGTGACCATTTCTTTTATTCTGCCACGTCAAATTTTTCTTTAATATTTGGCGTTTACACATTTCTTTCCAGGTCCTGCCCAGGGATCTAAGGTTAAAAATGGCATCATGACACTTTCCACTGACAAAAATAAATATTACATAGATAAAGTCCTTTGTAAAATGTGGGCTGTACTTGTCAGAACAATTTTTTGTATCTCTTTGAGTCATGGACTTCCAGGAATCCCTTCCATTAGTCTACTGGAATCTTTTCCAATCCGTCCTAGGGCTCCAACTGCAACAGGAATTGTTGATGTTCCCATGTGCCACATTTTTGAGATTTCTATTTCAAGGTCCTTGTATTTTGACAGCTTTTTGAATATCTTCAAAGATACATTGCAGTCAGCAAGGACTGCCATATCAATAAGGAGGCACTTTTTTGTTTGTGGTCTTTAATAACAATATCTGGGCGGTTGGCTTTGATTGTTCTGTCAGTGCGTATTTTGTAGTGCCATAGATTTGTAACAGGCCCTATCTCCGTAACCGGGTCTGGGTGGTGTTCATACCGGTTATTATTATTTACCTTTGTATATATTATTTGAATTTTAAAGAGCCGAGTAATCTAAAAAGAATCAGTTTCCATTTTCGCTGTTCTTTTTAAACTTAATCCAATATATTCAGGGACAGTTTTCAAAGCCACAGTGATGTAATTACAATGGTCATACGCACATATAGTTTATACTTTGTTCATCTTCTGATAGCCAAGTTGAAACAATTTTTAATACTAATGACTTCTCACCTCCCAGTTTTCCTCTCGTGTCTTACATCGTTACACCAAAGAAACCTGAAGACTATTGAGTATCAATTAACAGCATGTACTTTCAAATATTTGGGAGTTTCCTTGGTATTTTTAACTACAACAGCATTTTTCAATTTCTTCCTCGTATATATTTGAATACCATTCTCCTGAACTTTTCCCAGAGTTCGAGCAGGACAGCAGTTCGAAACTAAATATCGGAGAGCCAAGTCCGAAATCCAGTAGCGTTTGTTGCATTCATTTACGCGCAAATACTATCAGTATCCAGATCCTCTATCCAGCTATGGGTTAAGAAAATTATTGTTATTCTCAAAAAGATTGTTAACACTTTGAGTCCTGACCACCGCTTTACCGGTGGTAGAGAAAAATGACGTATTGTCAAGCTACCGGTTGAACAGTGGTAGACAA